GCTGGACATAAAAACAATACAAACGTATCGTTATGTTTTAAATATATATTTTTATAAATTATCTATTACTTGTAGAATTAGTTCAAGTTTTTGGAATAATATAAGTTTCTGTATGAATGATGTTGAACTTCATAAATTTATCCTCTGAAACATTACATATTATTATGCTGATTATTAAACAAGACTCAAATATATTTTAATTCTTTTTAGAAATAACCGTGTTTACTATGCAATGAAACTTAATTTCATAACCGTATAAATTGAAATTTTTACAATATCATAATTAATTATTAATTTCGTATGAATATAAAAATAAATTAATTTATCGTATTAGAATTACTATTGTTTTATGATTAATTAAGTGAAACGAATACAAACGATTAATTAAAAAATTTATTTGTTAATAAGAGGAACTTATCAATGTAAAAGGATAGCAAAAACTAGACGCTTTCTTTATTCTTGACATTGACCGAACTCGAGCAATTGAAAGTACTGACCGCCGTACCATCTACGCGAATTTATATAATTTTCGCGAAAGTTATGTACGCGCGCCAATTAGATCACTTATAATTGACAGAAATTTCATGCATAATTCTGAATTGGATTTGTATGTGTACTTAGCAACGGGAATAATTATAGCGCAACGCGAGAGAAATCTCTGCGTTACCTGCATTAACCTCATTATAAAGTCCAGTGTGTGATTACTGAAAATGCACCTTCCAGTGCTTCTAGAGAGCTCTTATGATTTATATTGCTGGTTAGTTACTAATCGAAGAATGGCGGAATGTAATGAATTCAAGCATGAGTCCATATGAAGCTGTTACGATAAATTTAAATGCGCATGTGTTTATTATTTACCCCGTAAGAAAACCACACCCAGCAAAGATTAGTTATTTAAATTAAAATAACCAAGTGATAATTTAAATAATTTAATTAATTATAAATATATTATAATAAAGAACTCGTGTATGTTAATGTTAAATAAATATTAGTTTATATAACAATATTCAAATAACTATTTGCAATTCGTTAAATGTATATTGAGAGACAATGGCTGTTCTTAGATTATTATCTTTTAGTATATAAATAAACCAATAATTTTTCAGTATTGAAAATAGATAAAGGAATAATTAAATAAAAGTAAAGAAAAAAGTTTTTGCATCATCAGGATCCTCAAATAAATTATATATTTTTATTGACTCGGATGTCATGATTGTCAAAATTATTCACAAATTCAAGGAATAAAAAAATCTAGCAATAGTCGTGGTTGATTAATAATAAGCCATAAATTCCTTAATATATACAGCTGTAACAAGAATAATTTTCCCGGGTATGGGCAAAGTTTGGCAATGGACTAAAAATAAAGTACATGGCTTATGCGAAATACCGCTCGCATTAAAGTAAATAAGCGAGTTGCGAACGTTTAATTGCTCGGGTAGTCAATATATTGGTAAAGAATTACTGGCGGAATGTACCTTCTCCACGTTAGCGAAAAATTTCTCCTTCTTTACCTTGATTTTCTTATCGTTCGTTTACCTCTTTTTCGGCAGCCATTATTTAACAATGCGAAATCTTTCCCAATAATGCGCTGCATTTAATTTTCAAATAAAACTGAGACATCGATAGTCAGAAAACATAGATCCAAACTCTTTTCTGTATGGGTCATACGTTCAAGAAAATTGCTCTTGTGAAATAATTTTTAAAAAGGTAATTGCCGTTCAGCACATTCTCCGAACACTTTCTAATGCTCTTTTAAGGTGAATGTTCACAAATAGAATATTTACGAGGCCCGACTTAGAAAATTCTATACACACAAGTATATCTTCGTATTCTTTTCGTTTAAAAAGAACTGATATTTTTAAAATATCAGACAATATTCGTATATGTAAATTTTACTTATTTCATCATTCGATCAATAAAAACTTTTCTTCATTTCACAATGGTAATGGATGACATTGTGCATCATTTGAATTTCTGAAGGAAAATATTGAAAATAGCAGTATCGTACCGTTATACACAATAAAAAGGCTTATTACATGAGACACATTAAAAAAATATTCTATAAAAATGAAATTGCTGCGTAATGCACTATAATAAAGGATAAAACATATATATTATTTCTATAATTAATAATACGTATTATACAATAAGAAAACAAAGTAATATTTTGATAATTATTGCAAATATGTTTTGCAAATATATTTGCGATTCATAAACATATAAAAGTGAGTTTCTCCCATGTGACAATAAAGTTAAAAAAAAAAAAAAAAAAATAACAAAAAAAGAATTCATGAATACAATCAATCATTAAAATTCACTCACGAGATGCGAGATTTAGAATATTTCTTTCCATTTCTTATTGCCGGATTTTTAACTAAGCTAAAACTTATTTTCATTCCTGACATATTTGTTTTCATTTTCCGGAGGTCAAGTTTTCATATGTAGAGTAATTAAATTTGGCGGTTTCAAAACATAATCACTCGGTAATTAATGTCAGAGCTTACGTCAGAGTATATGGGAGCGACCGCAGTAGTGAAAAACCTACATTATTATGAAAAACTACAAAATTACGGGTGTGTTCAGTAGATTAGCAAGTTCTGTCTTTGCCATTTGTTTGCTGATACTTACAAATGCGATTATTTCTCATACTTATTTTAATCCTCTTTACATACACAATATCATTGTGTATATCATTGTGTGCGTGCGTGAACGCGCCTATGTATTTATTCTTATATATATATATATATATATATATATATATATATATATATATTACATTTCAAGTGTGCTGATATTTTTTTATTTTGAGCTTACCTCAGTCTTTTCTCAAGCGTAAAATCTTTCCTTGAAATCTCGGAAAATTTTAGAGATTTTTCAATGCAAATTTGGACTTGAGATTACATAGAAAAAGCAGGTTTCTATGCAGATATATGTGGTAATCATTTATAGTAAAATTGTGCGACTACCTGATTTATCTGTAGTCTCGAAAAATTATTTGCTTTCGAATCAGAAAGAAACTTTGATAAAAATTAATAGATATTTTATTCGGATGTCATTTATAATCGCATTGATAGAATTACATTTAAACACTAGAAATTAATATATTTATTTCATTAAATAACCTATGGAACTCTTCAAAATTTATATTAATATTATTATATGAATTTTCAGAATAACTATGTAACAGACATTTTATGTCTTTTTGCAATAAAATAAATTTGTTTTCTAATTAAATTATAACAATATATTAAATTAGCTGCGGCATTCTGTAAAATAAAGATTTTTTGTTTTTATATACCTAATTGGTTTCTATTCAAATATATATTTTTTAAATAATACAAGCGTAAGCATAATGTTTGTTATGAAAAACTAAAAGTAAAAGTATTATCAATATGAACCTACTACATGAGAAATTGCAAAAATAGATATTTTACAGTTTAAATTAAGAATGTATATTCTTGTAAAAATATGTTTTGTTACTGAAAGTTTCAAAGGAATCTTCTGTACAGTTCTTTCAAATATTCTATTATAAATAGATACTCAACTGATTTATTATAAACGAACCATTTTATTCAATAAGAAATCATACTGTGATACCAAATAGTAATTAGAACATGCGATGATTCCTTTAGAAGAAACTAAATTATTATTAGCAAGGGCATGATCGATTTAGTTAATATAATTGTTGACTAAGCTGAACATTGTGAAATTACTTTTTAATCTACATGTAGAGTAGGATAAATATAATAGAATGAGAGATACTGTAGAAAAGCCGAACGAAGTTGTGAAAAAAGTGTAGGAACGACAGCAACATCGGGGGTAAAAATTAATGCTCGAGTTTCGTGAAAGGGAGATCCGCGGAAAAGAAAAATACAAAAAAAATGTTGGTTTTTGGTTATATGTATTACATAGTTAACCGAGATATGCACTTTAAAGTTGAAATAGTATGCGCGGATTCCTCCAGGTTTCATATTTTTTCTCAAGAGCACTTTTGTGCTGACGTTCAAATGGAATCTAATTCGCAAATTATTATTGTGTTGGACGACAAATTATTTCTAAGAATTTTGTGAGTTTCTAGGTTATGATTAGAATAGTTTGCAAAATTTCTCTTATGACTTGTCGGTATGGATTTCACATTGTATAAAGATGACTTAGAAATAATAAAAATAAATTTATAAACTAAATTATTATATTTAACAATCATTCTATTAAAAGTATTTGAATATATTAATATTTGATAAACTTTTAATCAATTAGTCTTGGCGAAGCATAAAATATACGATTTTATATGTAAATTAAAGAATAAACTGTGAAATTAATCAAAACTGGTTTTATACAATATATGAGCAATTTTTATAGAATATTTTTACAATTAATACATATACGCCTTGTCGTAATAATAATTATTACGAATATTTAATAAAAAAAAAATAATATATATATATATATATGCGTAGGCATTTTAAATCAAGAATACAAAATTCTGAGAATACATTACTACTTTTGATAACAAAAATTAATATTTGTTTATAAATTGCAATTACATGTGATTTTATTAATTTAACTGACAATATTCTATGTAAAATATAAAATGATATATTATAATAAATTCGATTATTTTAAAGACATGTACATTACCTTGCCAATTCTAAAACTATCTTGTATTTCTATTATTGCATTATAGATTATTGTTACATTCATTTTTATTGAATTTCTTTTGGCTGCATTGGAAGTTACATTAACTGAAATTATTGAGTATATTAAATTAATATATGTTGAACGTGTTTTTCGCACTATGCATTATGAAGAAAAATATTTAAAGGAAAGGGACGTTCAATAGGATGCAAAAGTCAATGTTAATGAAATCGTAGGACTCCATACTAGTACCGAGCATATTTAAAAGCTAAATTAGCAATCGCCAAGAGTAGTTAAGGAAATAAAGAATCCGCGGAGACCGCTAGGCCCGGCTTAATTCCTCAAGACAAGAGCGAGACAAGTACCTTTAATTATATCTAAACGAGCCTTCGTGCGCCCCGACACTGAAGCAATCGCCTAAGAGTTCACTAGCGTACGCTCACACGTATAAACGAAGACTACAGTGGCCCAATTGTCGCGTACCAACCGCACAGCATTCCTCGTCGTTACCAACTTGTGCACGTGTATTTTCAACGCTCGCTACGAGCCTCGCGGGAAGAAAACCGCGCTTTCACCGCTTCGCATTTGCTGTAACTTGAGCCGCCGAACGAATTAGGCTCGAGCAGTAGTGAGCTACGCGCGACGCATAGGATCACGTGGCTCGATCCGATCGTCGCAGCTAATCAAGCGAGGACCTCTCGATCCCGAGGCTCCTTATATTGTCAAATTTTGTTAAATTTCGTTTGCTCATTATTTTGCTAAATTAATGGAATTTAAAGGCGCCTTTAATTTTTAGAATATATGCTAATATCCGTATATGCCGATGACCGAGAGCGTTTAGCTCACATATAGTGCATATTTAATTAATGAATGTATTCGCGCCGCATAATTGTCAATGTAGTTTACGACGACGCTGAGCGCTTTTACGACACGAGAATAAAGTTATTATAACGTACCACTCGTTTTTAACGTGACACTCTCCCTCCATTAAAAAGCAAGCGTAGCTTTCTTTTGTTGAAAATTTTCTTTTTGATTATTATTAAACTTAAATGAAATATTCACTTAATACCGGACATTCTAAATGACTTATATTGTTGGAAATTTTTCATTATATTACAATCATCTTAAGAATGTCAGTCGTAGAATTAATAGCACTCGAATTGTTTAAGTTAAAGTATAACCGATTTAGTGCATAAATTATAAATAAATTATTTACTTAATTTAAGGAGACAATTTAATACTCTCGACAATCTTCACATTGGCCTTTACGTTAAAATTTTTCTATATTTGTTCATCGTTTTGGTCGATAATTTTGAGCGTGAAAAAATATAATCAAGCTAGTTGAAATATCCTTGAATTACGTGATAAGCATTTAATCTGTAGTTATATAGCCACTCCATCAATAATAAATTAAGAAGAACATGAAAGTATCTCTTTTCTATATAATTTTATAAATTAAAATAATAAAGCTAAAAATGATGAACAAAATTTATGCACTTGATCCTTAGCTAGATTAATCAGAAAAGTCTTACATCAAGAATTCTGTGCAAGATGAAAGAGGAGCGTTCATGTAAATTTGTATGATTACAAGGAAAAATCGAAATGAATTTCTAGTCAAATAAAGACATACTTTATCCTATACATTACAAATTGTAGCCATTGTTACTTATATAATTGGAGTAATACTTTCGCTGTAATAACTACCAACTCGATCATTAATCGTACTAAATTCAATACACATTTCTTGACAACCACGTCGTAAAATAAATCATTCGACAATAACATCAACAAATATTATTAAAAAATATAGTACTACTGCACCCGAGCTTCCAACATATGCCCAAAAATAACGTCAAAAGTTGCCGAAATCTTGTGAGGTACCATAAGATACCATAAATTATAAACGATAAATCATTACTTGCCGTGAAGTGAGCACCAAAATCCTTCGGGCAGGCACAATTCGAATCACAAATAAAGTGCAACACCAACCGACCACAACTGCCTTATTACCCAAGATTCCTCCGTCGCGCGTTAAATTCGTTCCCGCGAGCAGGAGATTTTCACTCCTATGCCCGGTTAATATATAGACTCGGTTACCGTACTCGGCTTCCTCCCTCCAACTGGTAGGAGATCGTGGCGACGAGAGCCAATCTTTGACGTGCGTCCGTTTGCAGCGGTTCCCTCAAGAAAAGCGTTCGTGCGTTATAACACGTAGGACAAGACATTACTAAGACTCGGTGGTTGACTTCGTGGAAAGTGTTTACATATGCGGTCCAGCCGACTCTGTGTAGTCATCGATCCTTGTGCCATAGAAGTTCAACTTTTCTTTTTTTTTTTTTTGCACATCCAATGCACTTTTATGAAAGATTGCAATAATTTATAAAGGTACGCGGTATATAAATAATCCACTTTGGAAAAGTAATGCAACCCTTGCTGTTTTAACAACGATAATAAAGTATTGTATATTACAAAAGATTTTGCATTGGAATTGATTAAATGGTTCAATGAATGGTACTACTGCATAGATGAATAATATTCAATTTTTCGAAATATATGCAGAAAAAGATGTAATTTACTTTTGAATATAATTCCTAATAAGATGATCGATGAATCATTCGATCATGGAACAATCATTAAATTTATGGACCTAATATTTTCATTGTACATTGAATATTTCACTGTTTAGGATCATAAAATACATAAAAACAACTTATACAATAAATGTTTATTGCAGATTGGAAAAGTAGTATAATAAATAATTAGGTATAGATAATTTGACATGATTTTTAAGAATACTCTAAAACTAGGATGAATATTATTATTGTTGATGACATAATTATATCTATATATATCAATGAAATACTGTGTAAAAAACTATTCAAAACTAGTATTATAATTGTAGATATGAAGGAAATTTTTATTAAATATCCTTTATCAACATTTATTCAATCTTATATTTTGAAATACTTATATTCACAAATGTTTATGTAAGGTTTCATTACAACCTTACTTTGGACTTTTTTTTTTTAAATCATAATTATTTAAGATTCTGACTGATTACGTTTTTATTTATAAAAATATATAAAATAATTTTTTATAATTCCACATATTATCGTGATTTACATATTATCGTGAAATATATATATATATATATATATATATATATATATATAGATTGAATATTGAGTAAACAATAAATTGTTGATTAAAATATCACGTATTAAAAAAAGGAGTATTTATGTATGATTATAAAATACTGAAAAAATTGATAATATTTAAATAAAAAAGATATTACGAAAATATTCGATATAAAATATATGCATGCCTGATGTATAATAATTATTTTTATAAAATTTTGGACATTTAATTAAAAACTATTTCATTATTACATTCTATATCATCACTATGTATTATGTTTTATATACGATATCAGTATTTTATTATAACAATATAAGATTTTTAAAACGGGCCAATATTTTCAATATATTTTATGTTTTATGGCAAGTTAAAAAGTATTTATGATATAAATTCATGATATCAAATGGGTAATAAATTTAAATTTGTTTAAAGATAAATATCATGTACCCACCTATAAACACAAAATGCAGATACGTATAAATAAATTTTATTAAATGCAATATCTATTGGTGATAATATCAAAAGATTTTCAATATTATTTAACATTATTAAAAGTATTTATTACATTTAATGTTTCAATAAATACTTTTTTTACATTTTAACGAACATTTTTTTAATATTGTAAGTTAAGCAGTTACCTGTAAAGTCATAATATTTAATGTAATAGATTCTATAATTTATGTTTAATTAGAACACCTATGTGTTGATTAATTTGAAAATTAATTATACTCATATTTTCATATTTATTCTATTGAAAATACGGGAAAGGCTTTCTATTCTTATTAATTTTGTGCTACATTTAATATGTAAAGTTACTCCTTTAAAGTAGCTATTATTATTCAGATTTTCTTCTTAAATATTATCTAAATATGGAAATGAAAATAAAATTTCCTGGTTGATTAAGAATATGACACATTGATACGATAAAAATTGATTTTTTAACTTTCGTGTTGTCTGATATATGGCACGTATAAATACATATTGATATCTGAAAATTAAAATTTGTATTATGAAATTGCAATTTTGCATATATTATTTATAGTGTGTATCAAGTGGTTTGAAAATACCTTGAAATTGTTATTTATGCATTATATTTTTAAATACAAAAAAAAATCAAATCAATTTATTAAAAACGCTTTTTTATCTAAATTTGGAGGAGATTGGAAAATTTCATTAAGTTAATTTAAATAAGAAATAAATATCGTACACCGATCAGAATTTATTGCTACTTACTTTTCCTTATACGTTAGTGTCCGATATCGACAACTGGAATTGAACGATTCATCAAGTCATCAATTAAAATTACGAGTGAAAGCAGTGAATCTCGATCGCCCTTCCTACATTCATGAATTCATCGTTTAAAAAGAAAAAAACGTGAATCAGTTGGTAGAAGGAGAAACAATGTCCGTTATTCAATCTAAAATTGATTTGACATAATTGAAATGGTTGTCAACTTTCATACAATATTTACATTATTTATTATCACCTTGCACGTTTATTAGGGTAATAATGACAATTTTTTACACAGTTTGTTATATTGATAGGAATATATCGTTAATATATAAATTAATATAGTATTATTTAATTAAGTTTGCATTACAATAATATAAATCAATATCTATATTTTGAAAATAGAATATTTGTGTTGAAATAGCAAAGTTTATGGTTAAATTTTAATTCATCTATTAATAAATGTTTCAAATATTCTTTCAAGTTTTATGAAAGCTTTTATTATAACAAATTCTTCTAAATTTTAATATAAAAATAACTATTTTCTATGTTACACAATATAATAATTAGCTTCAGTGTAATTAATAGATATTTTTAAATAACTACATATTATAGAATTTTACATACTTTTCTAGTGACACATGCTTAAATTTTATTTAATTATTTTAATTAAACGAGCAAGAAATATTTTGCTCGCTTTCTTTGTCATTTATAAGTCATTTATAATACTTATAAATAATTAATATTTTTATAAATGACACGAAAATGAAAAGAAAGTATATCTGGAATATTTATTTCACGTTAAACGACTAAGAATAGAACGAGAAAAATTAAGAAAAATTACATAAAAATAACTTTCAACTTATTTGTAAACATTTACTAATAAAGTAAACGACTAGTAATATTTTTAATCGCTTGCAACAATTTCATATAATAAAAATTTGAATATTTAGACTGTAGAAAATTTTATATATAAAATAAGAAAATTTATTCTGTCGTGAGTACAAATATAATCTAATTGACTTCCTACATATTTGAATTTTGCTGCTCTCTTTTCAAATAAACAAGTACGTTACGCTTGTAAAATCAGTTTATTGATATCTAATAACCTAATGATCGAGAGATTATATGATTAGTAGAGATCAAAATATTCATATCAAAT